TATATATATATATATATATATATATGCTTATTCTTCTATGAGTGATTAATAATAATATATTGATGTAAATGCAAACTTAATTGATATTTTATCATGGTTTTACATTGAAAATGATGATAATATAATTTGCATTCCTCGTTCTATACATTGAGATTTTCGGTCTCGATAAATTGAATAATTTATAATATTGGATAAAGAAGAAGAACGTGTAATTTAACAAAATACGTGATATATTAGCTATATTAGCCGCATTAATCATCGCAATAATAGATCCTATTAGTCATATTGATATAATATTGTGGTGTGTCATTAAAGCGATTAGTATCTCCGACACGTTTAGATCTTTTAATTTTCAAAAGCATTATGTAACTTAAACTCGATAATATAACATTGAATTATCTATTTATAATGTGTGATGTTTCATTTATTCTATATACTCAGATTCTATATACTCAGATTTCTATAAACTCAGTTAGTAAACACGTCTACAACTAGCATCATATACTAGAATTCATAACTAGAGCTGTGTTCCAAAATTTACTGCTAGTGCTGAAAATGTATACATAATGTAAACATAATGTAAACATAAATATAGTATACATAATGTAAACTGTAGATTTTCAGCTCTGGCAGTGAATTTTGAAAGCCTAGATTGACTGATATTTTTTATTCAATTTTTTCAACTTCATTTGATTGTTTTTAATTTCTCATAATTTAACTTTATTTAATATTTACATTACAACCGCGTAATCCATTACACGCTTCAATTGATCTTTATCAATTTTGTAGGCTTATTATAACGAGATTTCACTTAATAAATACGATGTTTATTTAAATTGAATATATCGACAAATATATTAATTGTCATCTTGTTACGTTCGTGAATTCTCTCAGAGGAAATATTTAACTGCAGATATCAAAATGCTGCAATTGCTGTAATTTTTATTTTCTAAAGCATGCAACAACTTGATTTCATCGAAAAACTAGTCATTTTTTTTTGTGTTACCAATGCATGCCAGATCGAATAATATTAAAGGCCAGATTTCACCTGTTTTTTTCATTACTTCAATATCATTTTATTATTTGCGATCTGCCATAGTAGAAACAGATTTCATTTTAGATCTATTTGATTTC